CTTGTTGCTGCTCTTGTGTCGTCAGGTAAGTCCAGGAGATCACAGTGCCCGGCATCTCCAGGAGCGGTGGGGGATGTATTTATGGTTCCTACTCTAGAGGCTTTGCTACTGTGGGGAAGAATGCGATTCATGTCCTTCCTGCACTTCATGTGAAGCCAGAGTCTTTGTGAGTGTGCCAGCGCTTGCCTTTGTCCTCATTCTGCTAGTAGGGCATTACAGTATCGGGAAGTCCCACCGCAGCTCCACGAAACACATCCATTAGTTTTGGTGCTTCCCCCCAAACACACATTGTGCTTGCTGATGCACAAGCTGTGCCAGCTTGATCCATTTTGATTTTTAACTGAAATAATTCCCTCCCTTCCAGCCTCTGCCAAGTGTGGAAAGGAGAGCCAAGTGCCCTCCTCAGAGTCAGCCCCTCACAGTTGTCTCAGACAGGTTCAAGTGCTGGAGTCCTCAGGTACCTCGTTGAATGCCATCAAAACAGCCAGCCTGGGTGTTTCAAACAGAAGCAGGTTTGCGGAATGGCAGGGGGGATACATGATTTATTTAAACAGGATGAAAATTAGCCCTGGTATGTGTGGATTTCAAGGGAAGTCTTACCAGGTAGTAGCCACTTAAGTTGGCGTCATCACCCCAGCCTCAAAAACTTGGGGATTCATTTCAGAATTGCCACACCCATTCAACACCATTCTTAACCAGCTTGACCATCACCAGTTGTTTTCCAAATCTCTAGAATAGGCTGTGGGCTCTCCTGGTAGCTCACAATACCCACTCCAGCATTCTTGGGCTTCCCTGGTGGCTCAGGGAAAGGTAAAGAATTTGCCTGCAATGCAGGAGACCTGGGTTCAATCCCTGGGTTGGGAAGATCCCCAACTCAGGGGAGGGCATGGCAACCCACTCCAGTATTCCTGCCTGGAGAATCCCCATGGACAGAGCAGCCTGGTGGGCTACAGTCTATGGGGTTGCAAAGAGTCAGTCACGACTGCTTGACTAAACCCAGCATAGAATGCTGCTGCTGCTGCTAAGTCACTTCAGTCGTGTCCGACTCTGTGCGACCCCATAGACGGCAGTCCACCAGGCTCCCCCTTCCCTGGGATTCTCCAGGCAAGAACACTGGAGTGGGTTGCCATTGCCTTCTCCAGTGCATGAAAGTGAAAAGTGAAAGTGAAGTCACTCGGTCCTGTCAGACTCTTATGGACCCCACGGACTGCAGTCCACCAGGCTCCTCTGCCCATGGGATTTTCCAGGCAAGAGTACTGGAGCGGGGTGCCACTGCCTTCTCCGAAACACAGCACAGAATAGGCTGTACTTATTGGATTTGTGTCATTTCTTTGGACTTCCCAGCATCTGAACACTGTTGGGGAAGTCCTCCCCGTGAATCTGGGTGGGAGGCAAAGATAGGCTCTTGCTAGAGGACTTGACCTTGCTAATCCTTTCTGAGCCTCCTCTGCAGTGGGACAGAGGCAGATCAGGATAGGGGTGAGGGAGGGTACCCTCTAGTGGTGGTCAGGACTATGTAGGAGAGGGGTGTACTCCCCAGACCAGTTCTGAGACATCATTTTGGGCATGATTTCTGTTGCTCAGACATCTCCTTAGGTCTGATACCATTTATAATAATAGAAAGTGGCAAGCAACATGTCTATGGCAAACTGGTTAATTCATACACTTGTTATTACTAAAACACAAGACAAAACAAACACTATAACCACTGCTGCATAAAAATTACCTCCCAAGTTACAAATGCTTACCACCTTTGATCCAGAAAGCTCACTTCTAGGAATGTGTCCCATGGATATATTTTTACGCAAGTGAAAAGATGAAACGAGAGATGTGTGGTATTGTCTGTTAGAGTGAAAGAGGAAAACCACGACCCACATGTCCCACCAAAGGGGACCACTTAGGTAATACCCAACAAACACCCACTAGACATGAGACATCTATAAAAAAAAGTGAAAGTGACGTTGCTCAGTTGTGTCCAACTCTTTGCGACCCTATGGACTGTAGCCCGCTAGGCTCCTCCATCCACGGGATTTTCCAGGCAAGAATACTGGAGTGGGTTGCCATTTCCTTCTCCAGGGGATCTTCCCAACCCAGGGATTGAACTCAGGTCTCTCACATTGCGGGCAGACTCTCTACCGTCTGAGACACCAGGGAATCCCTGGTTTCCTGGATTTTTTCCTGAAAAAAGTATGAGGAAAGCATTTTATATGTTGAAACAAAAAGATCTATTTTGATATAATTAAGAATGGATTGAGCCCATTCTTAAATTTAAAAAACCAAGATGTACTAATGAATGCATAGAATGCTAGGTTCTGTGTATGAAAAGAAAAAAAAGTAGGAACCTATGTTTGTAATTGCTCATATAATACTGACACTTTGGGATACACAAGAAATTATTGATATTTATTCAGAGGGCAGTGAGGATGAAGTGGGAATAAGATAGTGAAGGTCTTTTCACTGGCTCTGTATATTTTTCATTTTTTGACAATATGAAAGTATTACCTATGTAAAAGTGACTAAATTAAAATAAAAACAATGCAGTCAACACTTTTTTTGTAACATAACTGCGTGCTTTATTGAGAATACACAGTAAAGCAGTAATATAATACAATAGTAAGGCATATATTTGGTGAAGTCTGATATGTTGTGAAAATGCAGTAAAACTGAAGTTTTAAAAAAATAATTAGTAAATGTTACAGTGTTGGTGTTAAAACACAATATATTACGATACGCAAGTAAGAACCCAGTACCTGAAAACAATGACATAACATGCCATGTGATGTTTATGTTTCAGTTACATTATGACTTACAGTTTACTACTCGGTGGTTATAAGGAACATGAAATAATGTCCAAATTAATGTGTTAAATGTAGCAATAAAGCTCTCAGTTTTTATTCAAATATTTTGAGACTCACTCCAGAACTAATGTCTAAAAGATAAAACAAAAAAGATTAAAACAAAATCAAGCACTCTATTTACCTCTGATTTTAGAATGAAACTTAAACTTCTTAGTAGGAAGTAAAGTAACCCCTTGTTTTAAATCATGGTTAAAAGAAAAAAAACACAAAACCTCAGGTAAAGAAAAAGTCCAGCGTCACATAAAGGAAAAAAAAATGCCAAGATTAAAATCAAATCTTCATGTCATTTGTTACCTTAGAGCTTTGGGTTTTCTTTTGGAAATTATAAAGTAAAAAGAAAATGGAGGAAAATGTTCACACAATGGACAGGTGGTGAAGCTGTGAAATCAGGTGTGCACAATTATTAGGAACACCCCAAAACCAAAGTGAGGTAGAAATAGCATGAGAAGCCATGTTTGATGTTAACTATCATTAGTAAAATAAGGAACAAAACCCACTCTCCAAAAGTTAATTACACTTGATGTAAGAGGTAACAGATTTGCAAAATGATAAGATCACAGGGTGATTTCTATTGAATGGATGATAAAAAAAGTGAAAGACTAATAAGACAAAATGAAAGAGTAAAGCTTTTTTCCTACCAGTTAGTCCTCTTGCCTGTACTCCTCTTTTTGAATGATTTCTGTTTACTTATATATATTTAACCTGCCTAATCCACCAAAAAGGGGGTTGGAGTACCTCTTGGAACGTTTGAATCCATTTGCGTTCCCAATCAACAAACCTCCTGGAGTTACTTATAGAGAAATGCTGAACAGGGACGCAGGGGTCCTGGGCGTCTGGGTGGATATTAAACAGTGTCATAATGTGATGGGGCAACTGTCTTCCACATTTTCACAAGGGTTATTTTAAATTAAGTCTTGTGGCATTTACAAACTCACTGCAATGGGAAAAAAAATCTTACAAAACTGGAAAACCAAGACACCCACTGCTGTTTCACTGTGAAAAAATAACTGCGTTGTAATTGTAAAGCTCTCTCTGTAAGGTTATGGACAGTCATCCAATCCTTTACATGAAGAGGGGTCTGCTCTCTCTGAGGGAATCTACAACCCTCCTGCCTGGGAGTTAAAAATGCCTTCAGATGCTCTTTTGTCAAAGCATCACTAACTCTAAACCCTGGCACTGTCAGCAGCAGGAAGCTGAATGTATCAACCAGTGGATTACTCTGACATAGTAAGTCCTGTGTATTCATTCATATGTCCCTTAAAAATATTCAATACTCTAGTTGTCGGTGGAAAGTTCAAAATGAGAAACATCTGGAACTCTAGACTGTTTTAGTGTGGTAGTTTCCTTCTGGCTTCAGGCTCCAGGGAGGATTCATTCTAGTACAAGCAGGTGAGCCTGGATGATGAGAAGCAATTTCTTTCCATCAGGAAGTGGCAAGAACATTTGAATGAGAAATTTTAAATGTCTCTTGAAATTTATATTTACCTATATACCTACAGCGCTTACATACTGATAGACATATAGATGTGTAAAATGAAAACCCATGGCCAGTCCCACTCAGTCAACAATTCCAAACAGAGCTATGTGAAGTAGTCATTTGTTGGTCTTAGAGGAAGTCCTATCTTTAATATGCAAGAAAAGAAAAAAAAATCCATGAATTTCATATGGATACCACGCTAAAAGGATGCAAAACAATGCGCTGCCTCAGTTTGTGTTTGTGTGTTTGTCTCTGTGTGTGTGTGTGTGTGTGTGTGTGTGTATGTAGGTATGTGTTTGTTTTTAGGGGTTTTTATAAACAACTTTTTTTTTATAAAGCACACATTAGTTTACAATCTTTCTTTATAACTGTTATAAATTTTTAAACAACCCAAAATGCGTTCCATATAAAGAAATGGCAAGTTATTTAGCTATCAAGATTTTACATGTAGTTTTCTTATAACTTTTTGTACAATTGCATAGACGTGTAAAACCTGCCATTGTTAACAAAACAATAACAGACTTAGAAACTACTGAAATCTACAGTATAGTACCACTACCCTTCACAAAAATATAGATTTTTTTTCTTGTAAACTCTTACTGTCTAATCCTCTTGGTTGTATGAATATTATAAAAACCATGCGGGAATCAGGAGTTGTAAAACATTTATTCTGCCCCTTCTTCATCTGTCATAACTGAAACTAAGGACTCCATCGCTCTGCCCAAATCATCTGCCAAGTGGAAAAGGCTTCCTACATTGTGTCCTGGAAAACAAAGAGAGAGAGAGAGAGACTTGATGCAAGGTGCAGACATCATCACCCCAACTCTTTGCTGCTGTGGAAATCATCCCCCGTTTCTAGGTGAAGACAACACAGACGCTGCATCGAGGGGGATACACAACAGGGCTTGGTTTTTCACCAGTGTTCCAGGAAGAAGCAAAGCCTTGTTAATAAAGCCATTCCACATTGTTAGTATCAGCCTCCTATCAGGGATCAGGCTCTTAGCATCATGGAAATGGCAAAAGTCCAAGACTATACTCCCCTTCCCCGTGTAGATATATATCAGAAGGATTCCATGGATAAGCGCAAGATTCCTATGGTAAGAGGAATAATCCATGGTGGCATGTATCTTTTCCACCTTGTTGTGGGAGAATATTTACTATGTACTTGTATTTAAAAGAAAACTTGTTTTTCCTATTAAACAACCACCACCACAACTATCACCACCACCATCACCACCATTCTACTACCATCACCATGAATGTGAAGTCTTCATCTCAAGGCTATTACAATCTGTTGGCTCACATCTAAGGCTATGGTGGAGGTGACTGTTTTCTCTCTGTTCTTATTTGAATTGAAAGATAAACTCTTGACCTTTTTATGCACTACTAACATTTGAATTAGGAAGCTTCAGGGGAAAAAAATCACTTTTGATTCCAAATTATTTGAGAGCCTAATTAGCCTAATTAATATGACCCACATGTGTACCATGTGTTTGGGTATCCTGTGAATCCATTTTTGATCTCCTTCTAAATGAGGGTTAAAGAATAGCCTTTTAATAATAATATGACATGACCTAGTATTAATCCCCCAGCATGGAGCATAAAGGCAGCCCAATGTCTCTCAGTACTTTGTGGTGAAATTCAGATCTAGAGTAAGATAGTTTGAGACATACTTTATGACTTGCCTTTTCATGTATGTCCCATATTTTTATACAGCTAATTTTAATTCTTGGACATTATTAAATCATTCTACTATTCAAGTACTGCCTTTGAAAGGAAAAATGCTTTACTAGGCTATTACTACCTTGCCATGTATCAACTTTACAGATTCCCATAATAATTGTTAAAATCCCTATAAAAATTAAAGATAGACTAGGGCAGGCATTCTAGTCTAATATTTATTTCAAGAGACATATCATTTTTAAATATACGAGAAGATCTGAAGAGGATTCATAGGCTGGCACTTAAACAGCCATGGCACCAGATCAAGTTAAGACTTATTAAAAGTTTAAGGCCGTGCAGCCATTTATATTATGGTGACCAAGTTTGTAAATCTCTTTGAGCTTTATTAGGGCAGAAAGTTTCAGTGAGGACTAATTGTGCTGTAAATAAAACTTACTCTGGATTTTGGTTGAGCGTATGTACTATGCATAGAGTAGGCCAAGAGTTTGGCAGCCCTCAGTGAAGAACAAAAATCACCTTTGGGTTTTCTAAACCATAAAAACCACACAAAGACATAGTGAGTCCTTTGCTGCTCCTCAGAGCACAGATAATCAGCCTGATGCCAGCAGGTTAGAGAACTTCCCTTGTGTCTCCTTTTGACTGCCCAGCAACTCTGTGAAAGCTGTACAATTATTCATGTGTGATTGAAAATAGATGGACTAACTGCAAATTTTTAATTGCTTGCAATCTTAACAACAGTCACTGAAACCACTAAAAGCAAAACTCAAGATTCTTACAACCTGACACCTAAATATAATGCCAACCATTTCTCACGACCCACAGCTGCCTATAGTATAGTCCACCTGGTGGCTAGAAACATGTATTATCAAGCAGGCCAGAAATCACTTTTTCCCCTATCAGCTGATTAACAATGATTACAAAGGGCCTATTTTAGACTGTGTACCAGGAGATGTAGACTGCAGTTCAAAAGATAACCAAGACAAAGAAATGCATTTATAGATTAGATAGCCAGGTGGTATTTTCCTACTCAAAATAGTGTTCAGTTACTACATGGAAGAAAAAGTCTTGAGTCTCTTAAGAGGCCTAAGTTATAGGGGTATCTGCTGTTTACAAAGTTACCAGGTCAAGCAGAGGGTCATGGTTCTTAATACACCACACACACTCCCACAAAATGTTAGGTGGCCGTTAACCTATCCAGATGGTTAAATGTTCACAGAAGACTGCATGGCTGTCCAAAAAATGAACGTATCTGCATGATACCTTTCATGACTGTGTTTACCTATACCCATTTCACCAGAAAAACAATTTTACAGTTTTCCATGGAGGTTTTCCTTCGGGCCAGAAAAAACAATTCTCCTGCTCGAAATACTGCCCCGAAGAATCATACACCTGAACCTGCTGGAGGCATAAAACCACACACAAATAGGGACACAGAAAATAAAGGTTTGTATCTTGCGTCTATTATCCATGTGTGGAAGGCAGCAGACTGGTGAGAGCCTTCATTTCACCTGACAGATTGTTCTAAAGCCAAAATGAAAATCTCGTAACTAGGAGCACTAGAGACCCTGAAAAACAGGCAGGATTCAGACATCTGTGATGAGCTTCAGGCACAAGTAGACCGAAAAATCTGTCTATAGAAAGTATTCATTTCATCCATCCTTAAGCAAGGACTGTTGACGAGAAAGGCACCGTGCATTTAACATTAGGCTAGCTGTATGTTTTTCCAAGTCGGCGCGAACTGTGACACATTGAGTTGCACACGCCACCTCTGCCTCAGGGAGCTGTCTGCTGCAGTGATTGGGAACTGAGAATTTCTGGCAGAGCCCCAAGACCTCAATAGCAATCTGGCACTCTGTTTTTTAAAAAACACCATTCCCAAAGAAATGGTGAGCATTCAACTGGCCAAAGGAACAGCCAGAATACTGTGGTGAAATGTGCTTCTCTCCCAGAATTTCATCTTGGAAAAAAGTATCTGGTCTACTGTACATTTGGGGGATATTTTCATAACAATAAAAAACATCACTATTATTTGGATTTCCTGACTTCCTGGAAACTTGTCTGACTGTAATACACCTCAGGTAGTAGAGTTTCCACATGCCTATGGGACTGCAATTACATGTGCTGGTCTTTTCTAAAAGTCATTCATAAGAGACATATGTTCAGGGTGGTTAAGAAAACACAGTGCAACTTTTTACCACAAGTTAAAATAAATTTTAAGGAGAACTTACCATCAGAGTGAACCCAAGAAGTCTCACATTAGAAGGCAAACCGTCAGGAGCATTCAATACTTCACAGATTCAGGTTTCCTGTTTTTCCTCCCAGCCTACCACTCCCTCCCTTGGACCCCACAAGCCTTGGAAGGGAATACAGGTGGAGACACACTGGAGGATCATTCAGTCGATTTGACCTGCATGGCATGGCATTGGCAGAATTTCCAGTGTGACTCCTTACATTTAAATGAATCAGTAGCTACTCTTGTCCATGCTTGTGCTAAGGATTCAGAGCCCTCTCCTAAGGCCTCCCCACCCATCCAGCCTGTCTCGCACCAGAGTATACGCTATTGCCATCCACGGGAGAGCATCCCTTCTTGCTTCCTTCATACTCAACTCTTGGTAAGCATGATCTTGTTTCATTTGGGCTGTCACTCAACATGCCATTTCGTGAGGTAATTCAGTGTTTAGATAATATTCCAGGTAGTATGCAGAAGGAAGTGGCTTTTACTATTAAACCCCAAACCACATTCAGTGGTAACACTGTACCCTACCTATAAAAGGCATTTAAAAAGTCCCTCTAGACTCCAAAATTCACTTTTTATTCCTGACTGGGTGTGGGTCTGTTTGGTTCCAGATGCCAAGCTAAAAACAAAAACAAACTCCTCTAATGGGCAAGTTGAGATGTCATATGCTTTTCACACATTGTTTTCTAAGTGGCAGTAAAGCATATAGTTAAGAGCGTGGCTCTGGACCCAGACTGCCTGGATTCACATCCTGGCTTTGTCACCTTGGACACCCTGCTTACCCGTTTATTGACTCAGTTTCCTTATCTTTAAAACAGGGTTGATACGAGTACCTACCTCAGAGGCTTGTTGTGAAGATTACATAATGAATAAGATGGCAAGTGCTTAGAAAAGTCCTTGGCATACAGTAAGTGCTCAAAAAAACAATGTTAGCTAAGGTAGGGAAGAGAGAGTGTAGGAACCAGAAAAAAGAAAACGAAAACAAAATGAAGTCATCCAAGAAGAATAAAACCCAAGGGCACTGGCAGAAAACACTAGGGTCTTGGAAGTGGAAGGAAACTTTATGACTCATCGACTATGTGTGAGGCTAAATGTATTGTGAAGATTTTGTTTGTGTTGCAAATGGCAACAGATGATGAACTTCAGGATTCCAATTTAGGGACTACAAAGGGTTTCCCTTTAAGAGAGTCCTGTTCCCCCAACCCCTGGTCCTGTTGTCATGGTGATGACAATGGCCATGAACATTTTAGGCATGTTCCTCATGAGCTGCAAGTGGAGAGGTGACTACCATCCTTACATGATGACACGTGTAATACACACATGCGCGTGCACGCACACAATTCTTACACAGACGCCAAGCATAGAAAGCGGGATGAGACAGACAGAAGCCATGGCTGTGAGCCTGAATCTCACTAACCTCTCTCATTGGCTTCCCAGGGGTATTTCTTCCTTTAATAATAGAGAGAGGAAGAGGCAGAGATATCAGAAAGGAAAAAAAAAACATGCATAAATATACAGTTTCATACCAATTTGCTTCTTTTACCAAACAAATGTTGAGATGACAATTCATTTATCCCCTTCTGGAAAAAAAAAACAACAGAAACAAAAAACCCAAAAGACACATCCAGTCAAATAACCTTTACATACACTTAAAATTGGTGTAAACAGATAACATGATCCAGGAGACATCACTCAGAGGATCCATAGAGCTCATGTGTCTAAGTGGATGAAAGTTGGCTCAGCAGGGAAAACTGACAAGCTGAGCATTGTTTTCAAGGGCAACTGTAGAATCTCAAGTTTACTTGCCAAAAATCTCAGAATCTCTTGATTGTCCACTTGACAAG